ACACTGAAAGGAATTTTTCACTTGAAATATTTGTCTTCAAGTTTTAAATTCTTTCAGTTTTTTTCCCTTTATCTTTTTACAAACTATCCTTGCATTAAATGTAAAAAATGCAGAAAAAGAATCAATTTAATTTACTTTTCAAATGTTCTATCACTCCAATCAAAAAAAGTCGGATCAATTTTCGAAAAATCATTCGTACCCGACAGCTGTTATCAATATAATTAAAATAAAATTTCGCTTCAAAGAAATGCACATCATTCTTACGTTATTCAGTTATTAATTAACTCTTCTGATAATGTATAACACGCAACAAATGAAATAAATCAACGAGTAATCTTTGAAATCTCCTCGACGATTTAACAATTACAATTTCAAAAAAGCTTTCAAAAAGATTGTTGGTTAATACCAGATAAATCTATAAATAGTTAACTAAAAGCGCTAAGTAAACCGACAATTTTATCATTTAATCAATTTAATTCTGTTTTAAAAACGCGACAACTTTTCACGTGATGTTTTAATAATGAAAGACATGTAAAACATCTCATAACATGTCAAATATCTCTTCGTATTTTAAAGTATCTTTCATTTTCCTTAACGCAATGTATATTCTTTTAATAATAAATTTCCTTCGAATTTAAATACTCCCACTAATTTACTTTGCTTCTCATTAATTTCAATTAAAGCTTTGTTACGCACGAATTAACGATATAACGATATAAAAGTAGTTAATTAGAGTTTTCTTTGATTTGTCACTCTCGCTTACCTTTCACACCGTATTCCACAACTGAAACGTAAGGTATCGGCACCTCCGACGTTTTCGTATTGGTATTTCACACGACAGGGTGCTGCGTTTACGAAAAAAAAATCGTCCCGCCACCGGTTCTTTTTTTATCGTTCTATATATTATAGAATATATACGTTATATATAATAAATATATCAGAATGGTACGCGCGACACTTGCGAGCTCTGGTAAAATAAGGTGTACAATGAGACTAGAAACGGAAGCGCGGCTCTTCTTATACTCCGCCATGTGCTTCTGCAGCGCACTCTCCAAAGAGCAACCCCGATTTTTTTAACCATCCTTTTCACCCCTGTTGGTTCACCTCTCTCTCTCTCTCTCTCTCCCGCTCTCCCCTCTCTCTGCTATGTGTTAATTCCTATTTACGTATTGTTAAATCCCTGTCCTGGAAAAAATATAATTGCGAGAGCATGTCGTGGATATATGTATCGTTTGACGTAAATGATGTCTCTTATTTTTCGAGTGAAATCGAGAGTTACGTTTATTGACGTAAGTTTTGGATTTTTCGTGACGTGTCGTTTGCTTCGCGAGGATCCGCAGGATTTCAGGGTTCTGCATGTCGATTGAATAACATCTCCTTCAGATTTGCCGTGTTCCGACTATTTTATTTGTTGCTAGCGCAAGTTTCAATAAAATCATTTCCTTATTTTTAACTCGCAATAACTCGACGTTTGCTTTAGAGTAATATATTCATTCAGATTTATTCGTAATCTGAATATGTGAATATTTATTTATTAAAATAAATCACGGCTCGCCGTTAAATAATTTATTTATAATTTTGCTGCGTTCGCAGTACAAGAAGAAATCTCCCTCCCTTCTGGAATTGAAATTCTCTGCGTGTTATAAAAACGCGCTTTTTCTAAAATTTCAAAAACCAGATTTGCTTGGAAAAACAAATACGTTTATCGTTTGGTTAATTAACCCCTTCGTATCCATGGACGCGATATCGTTCGTGATAAGTTTCGTACGACATGTTTGTGCAATGAGTCACAGAAGCATCGATACCCTGGCGATCGGAAACGCCATTTCCAATATGTTACAACAAATTATTTATTTCCCGATGAAAAAACACACAAGCAAGTTGTACAAAATAATAGAAATACTTTTTAACAAGTAGACTGCCGATTTTCAATGAATCTTTTCTCATCTGTTTAACTGTGTTCGTAAACCTATTAAATTTGCCTAAAAATCTTTTTACAAATTATGGTTACAAGTGTATCGTGTAATTACAGAGATTATAAAAGATAGTTAGAGGCAAGTATCCTCTACCTTTTCTAAAAGCATTTATATGATTCCACTCTACTAAACGCCAATGATTGTCCTCGACGTGATGTCGATGAAGGATTTTCTTGCTTTCGCGCGAAATGTTTTCCATCGTGTGTTTTATCAAAGACTCGATTTTCGAATTCAATAATTCCAAGGATACGAATACTACTGTGACTCGCTGTTTAATACATCTTTTTATGACGATTCAAAACCAAGCAAGCATGTACTTCGACGAAAGATCAAGCAACGGTTTGTTTAAACGCTTTGTGAAATACGGTGACATTTTGAGAATACAATGACAAAGTGAATATGTGAGAGGGAAGACGGAGGTAGCATATGTGCGTATCGGTTAAAAATGCGTTTCTTAGCGCTGCGAGAGATTACGTCGTAAATTCCAGAGCTACGAGTAATGCGTAACGTCAAATTTGATGATGAATAAGCAAGCATAAAGGCGAACGAGAGCAACAGCCTGTTGATCATTTTTTGAATTCTAGCTTCACCGAGCATTACCAATGGTCAACACGATAACAGTCAGAAAATAATGAATTATCAAAGGTTTCTTTTTCTAAAAAAATGCGCTCTTGAAAGCAAACAAGGCCAAGGTTTGACGATTCGTTTCTAGAAATATACGTATATTAGGGATAGCGGTTCAAGTAGATGCGGATGTTACGTTCAGACGTAAGTGAAGTGATCCTTACAAGGTAGGCGAGCGTTAGGTAAGCGTATAATTGTAATGATAGAGTAAAATAATTTGCTTGAAATCACGGTTGAAACGAGTGACATTGTGCTGTTAAGTCCAGTCAATAGATTTATTCGGTCGATACGTTTCCTCGCAACGTTGAACATCCTTCGTTTGTAGGTGTATTCCTACGATGCCAATGTTTCTCATCAACGCTGTTTTCGATCATATATAGTACATTGTGTACAAGTTTGATATTTAATTTAATTCAATTTTCAACGATTCGAATAACGATTAACCAATTGTTTAGATATAAACAGTCTAATTTGCTTTACATGAAATTACACTTGCAGGCCTATAGAACTGAAGAAACTATGATTTTTCAATGGTAAAATAAGTTTGTTTCAAATTGGTAACGATCGTAAAACATGAACCAGTACATTACAAACAATGAATTCAATTTTTCGAGCAAGATTAGATAACTTCGATCGTATTTGCAATTAGAGGATCAGTTTATTTTGTTTAATCAAAACGATTCGTTCAACGATGGCAACAACACTCTTTTACCTCTAGCCACATAATAAGGATCAAAGTTAGTCAACAAGTCTTTAACAATCCCCTTCATTTCAACTCCAAGATGATGCTCCAACTCCTTTATCCTCTTCTCTCTTTCGTTCGTACGATCCTCATAGTTACTCGAATCACATTTCAAATCTTCCCTCAACTTCTCTCTACTTACAATATCATCCATTTCTGATTTTAATTGTTCAAAAAATATTCTTCCGTCGTCTGCGTAATTATTTTTCTTGCCCCTGGAAATGAAGTAAGGCTGCTCTAGTTTAACAAGTCCCTTCATGTCGATCCCAAAATGGTCTTCCAGTCCCTTTATCCTCTTCTCTCTTTCGCTCATACGATCCTGCCTCAACTTTTCTCCACCTATAATACTGTCCATCGTCGATTTTGGTCCTTCTGATTCGAATGATATTTTTTTCACCTCTTTGTCATTAATCTTCTTGCCCCTGGAAATGAAATAGGGTTGCTCGAGTATGTCGTTCAGAACATCAAGTCCTCCGACACCATTTCTTCGCTCTCTTTCGAAATAATTGGCCATTTTACGAACACGATTTGGCCGGTACGCAGATTCGACCGCAATGCTCTTTACGACGGCACTGTTCGCCGGCTTCGAGTCACGTTTCATTCGAACGCGGAATAAAAGAGAATTACTCTTTTCGCCAATCGCATTCCCCGAAGCGGTAGCCAATTCGACCGGCATGCGAGATGTCTTCTCCGGCGTGTAAATCGCACGTGAGACTATCTCCTCTCCGGAACGGTACGGCGTTTTTTTAAAAATCAATCCACGTTTGTCCCCCTGCTTGTTAAACGTCGATTCGCCACTTTCGAATTCCCCGAATTCGTTTCTATCTCGCCCCGCAAATAATGGCTTTTCGTTGTTAATTAATTTCAGATCGTCGGCAGATCTCTTCTTTGTATTTGTTAAATGTTCTTCGTCTTCTTCGTTTCTATTTTCTTCGAGTCGCGTGTTTGAATAACCCGCCACGATATCATCCAATTTTTCTTCATTTTCTGCCTTTTTTAAATTTTCCTCCCTTCGATCACCATTATCATCCTCGTCGTGATCATCGCTGTTTCTGTTTAAAGTCCCGAGCCGTGAATTCAAGTTCGTCGATCTTCTGTCTCTCATCGTCTTCAAATCGTCCGCCAGGATTACACGCAGATCTTCGTACTCGATCGACGACTCTTCACTTCTCGTGTCGTTGACGATATTCGTTAATCTTTCGTGGAATTTTTTACCTCGGGAAATGATGTACGGATCGACAGTTTCGAGATTATGACGCGAATGATTCTCCCTGCCGTCGTTGTTTATTTCGACCCAATTTGGTTCCTCCACGTAGAATGGATTCTGCAGTTTCCAGCTTAGTTGCCGACGATGGTAACGCCTCTTCGAGTTACGCGAAACAATGTGACCGTCTCTTTCCAATAATTTGCGATACACAGCAGGATTCAGGATACATTCTACGTGCTCGGTTTCCAGTCGCTTTCCCAGAGTCGACGTGTCGTGCTGCGATTGTTTGCCACTTGGGTCCATGTACCTTTTGTAAAATTTTTCATTATTTATAAGTGGTATAAGCCATAAGTCATGCATAAGCATATTAGAAATTAATTGAAAATAAATGGATGTTGTGATTGCAATTAAAAAATGAAATTGTTGTGTTTACAAGTGTATCGTAAGTATTGCAAATATTGTAAAAGTATTATAAACAGTGAACTTTCAAAAGGTAAAATCTATAAATATTAAAATGTTTTTAATATTATTTTTAGTAAGATTTTTCAAATCAAGAAAAAATAAAGATTTTTAATATTTTCGCCAATGAAATTAAAAAGATTGGAACATAAACATGGGATTTGTTTCATTCGCCTAAATATTGTATAATGATCCCTTTTATCTACTTTTGTCTACTTTTTTAAGATTTTGTACATTTTTAGATTTTTACACAATATACGAACGTCATCTGCATTTCTTCTCACCTTTAAATTTCCGATAAGCGCATGAAAGTCAATATCTAATTGTAAGGAAAATTAAATCACACCACGTTTTAAAAATCTTGTCAGAGACCTATCGTATTATGTCGAAATCTATATTTAAAATAACAAATGTATCGTGACATCGTGTATTTACATAAAATCTACAGCAATAGTGTATCTATATAAAATCTAATTATGAAAACAATTAAATTTCTTGTTACGTTATACCTATGTTTAAAATAGCAAATACGTCACAATTCATGGACGATTATAAATGTGTGTAAATAAATTTTTCTTGCTTACCTGGTTACTACGAAAGGTGTGAGTTTCAATGATTTGATAGCAGGCCCTCGTAAAGAATCGTCATCGATCTCGATGTAAACGGGGCGATCATGCGACACCCGTCCCCCATGCTTCCACAAGCAATGCACATCCGAAATTAACATTGGTGTCGCTTCGCTGTCTACGCTTGTCTAAAATATCGAATATATATTTTAAGCATTAGCGAGGGCGTTGAACGATCGTGACATTTAAACGTAGAACAAAAAATTCATTCCTTATAGATGCGTTGTTGCGAAGCGAGTAAAAAGTATTATGGAAGATGAAACGCGACTCTAGAGAGATAACCGTACCCGCTTTCAATGCACATGCGAATATTTCCCCTTTTTTTCTTGCTTTATTTCCCTTCCTTTTTTCCTTCCTTATCGTAATCAATAACGATAGTTGGCGTAAAACTTTCAAGAGTTTACTCGTTAAAATGCAGAAGAATTCACAAGTGACAATTCAAAGTACGGTGAGGAAAGAAAGGAGGGAAATAATAAATTCATTCAGTGAAAATATCATCAATTTTCTTATATATTGTAGATTAGAACGTTCAATTCTTACAACATGCAACAAGTGTGGAGAAGTTACCTTACCGTAGAAGTGTCCTTTGCCTCTATCGCTTGGATACTGCACATCGTTATTGATAAGAAAACTAGTACAATTTGTAATCTCCTCATTTCTGAAAAATGTATAAGATATTAAATTGTATTATTTAAATCGTAATTATCTCTTCATAGAATTATGTACGATGTTGCTCCAGCAATGGAAACCTCGAATAATAATAATAATCTGTGTTACATTGACTATACTCCGAAATATCGCTATGATGTACGACTTTTTTTCATAATTTTTAAACACTTAAACTACTCCTTTTTTTCTTTATTTTACATCGACTTCTGATGAAATATTTGCGACCTATACATAATGAAACAATGTAAAACACAGCTGTACAGATTGTAAAATCATACTACCGATCTTGAAGGTAGTCTTTTTGCTTTTTGCTTTATTTTCTTCCTTTTCTTTCTTTCCGTATTCCTATATCCAAGGGCTAATGCTCCTCGATAAATAAATGTCTGTCAATTTAATTTCGATCGTATTCGAAGATTCCACTCAACAGTACACAATATTTATCATAATTGTACCATATAATGTATAATTATGCGTGGACAGTATTGCTTGCAATTATTCGAACGATATAAATTTTCAATCTCGAAGTATTGAGTGAAAAAATATTCCTTTTCGTTTTATTTTTGTAAGTAAATAACCCAAAATAACTAACTATATATATGTATCACACAGGACAAACGTGCATTGATTAATCGATATGTGCTTTCAGATCAGATGATCGCGTGCAAAATGCACGAATCTTTAATTCTAGAAGTCAGAATCGAAACTCAGAATTCTTAATTCTCCGAGGGGGCAGAAAACCTTTTCAATTTAATCTTCGAAAGTGAAATTCATAAACTTATTTAAATTCGGGGGAAAAGTTCCGTGCGTGTAATTACTTCAAATGAATACCAAAATAAAGGATTTCAATTTCAACGTAAAGTTTTTCGTTTCTCAACGTTTCTGTTCGATTATGAAGATATATATCTTGTGTAATAATCACCAGTCGCATTTAAAATGGGATGAACACGCGTACCTGTGTTGTAACGAGAACTGTAACACTTGTTGTTCCGTCGTTGCACCACGAGTCGAACGCGAGGAATGAATTGGAAAGGACCGTTTCTCCCGTATTTATGGCGTTCCTCCGCGAATCCTACAGGCGACCTCGTTGCGGTCGAGAGATTAGGAGAATTGTATAGGGAATTTACCCTGTCAAGAAACGCAAACATCCCGATGACCGTAGGTTATAAGTTTCTTGTTCTTCCATTGAAAAATTCCCTGTTATCAAGGGAAATGCGTTTCACGCTGGTCATCAGCTTGTCAAGATAGAAAATGTTACTTTATTTTTAACATTTCGCCAGCGATTCGTTGACTCACGCGCCTAGATATGATGCACACGTAAATTTCTACAATTGTCAAATTGTAAAGATCATCGTTGTGATTTCATAATTGTCAACATTGTCAAAAATACGATCGGCCATATTGTCCAGGATAATCATTAGGATAATTATACAGGAAGATTGGACAATTGTGATGAAAAATTTAGAAATAGTCTTTTCGCTTGAGTTTGAAATTAAATGCACGATGTTTTTATTTTCTTTTGGACGTTTAGAAGATTGGTCATATTAGAAATTTACAGGCTGATGTTAATTGATCCTTTCGTTTACTTACGCAATAGAAATGAGATTGTCAGTTAATTGCAACTACTCTAATATTTACAATTATCATTATAACGTATTAGAAATTTATAAATTTAAATTACTAAGCTTCTAAAATTAATTCATTCATTTCCAAGAGGATTTAATTCATTCATTTCCAATATTCCCTGTTAATTTTCTATCAAAATATTCCCTTCTTTATTTAGATTATCTCATACTTCCATTTAATCATTGAATGATAGAAATGTCAGGAAATAATCAAAAATAGATTTACCATATTTTTCGCGTGTTTTTTACAATATTTCATGTTCAATGAAACGAATATTTACAATGTAAACTGAAAAGGGATTAAATGGTACCCTGTTTCTCACTGCGTCACAGGAAGACACAACAAGTAAGTACATATAACCGTAAAAACGTTATGATGCGAGAAAGAACACGCACTGGTGCTTAATGTGATAATATGTTGTGTAACCGAGACAAGTAGGAGGTAACCAAGGGCGCCTATTTAAGTCCTCTTTATATTTGATGCTATTCCCTTTGTCAGAATCTTTACTGAACGTCAATAAAAATTAGAAAATTATATTTTGCTTGTTATTGCTAGACTATGGGCGAAATTTTATATTTTTACAAATATAATTGGGAAAGTAGGACATGAGTGAAAGGAGTACTATACTTCGGATATTTTATATGTATTTTTACTATTTATTTTATGTATTTTCTGGATCCTGTTTTGCATCCTTGTATTTTCTATAGTTGCACGATAATCTGCAGTTTGATATTAAAGATACGTTTAGAGCTACGAGAAAGTTGTAGAAGCTTCCTTTAATCGAATTATTAATTAAGTATTGAAATATTCTTTTGTTTAAAATCATCGAATTCATCTCAGCAGGATTTCATTTATCTTCTTTAATTTTCTTCGTAAATGTTCAATCTCATTTCTTGTTCAACTAACTATTTCTTTCGTTTTATTGCCTAATTAATTTTAAATTGTTTATTGATTTTTGTTCCAGATTCAGGAATTATTGGCACGTCCGACATTTACGAGGAAATCAGTAAATCATGGTGAGGTAACCATTATAAAAAATAATTAAATTACTATAAATATGTTATATTGATTAATTATTATAAATCAAATATACTATTTCAGATTTATAAATTAGTTATATTTTAAATTTAAACTGTAATAGTATGGTTTTTGGCAATGGGTACAATTATCAATGTTAGAAACTATACAAAATTATAAACAGAAAGTTTATGAAACTGATCTGATTTCTCTCTGTCCTTTTTTTTTTTTTTTTTTTTTATTCGCAGAAATTTAGATTTTTGGGCGATGGGGATTGCCCCGATTGGTTATTGGCCGAGATCAATACCTTGTCACGTATGGTATGATTTCATTTTGGCATACGATTTTCACTTTCAAATACGCCATGTAATTTCTGATATATCTTAACTCAATTCTTTGATCGCAGACGTCTATTAAAATCAAGATACTAGGTCAAACGGTTGTGAAGTATCTCACCGAGGGAGATCTTGATGTAAGTACTACAGTACTGCATTTTAAATTAATTTTACACGCTTACATCAGATTTAACGATTCTCACATAAACATTCAATTTTCTGAAGGAAGAAAAATTTTAATTTTCGTAAATATTTAGCTCTAATCGATTTCAAAGTTACGATAAAATTGTGCGATAAATAGAAAGAAACGTTTCAGCATGTTCGATGCTGAAATCTAGACAAACAAGACAGCTTCGTACTATATTATTTGCCCTGCTTCCGGGATTATTGCTATTTCTGGAAAATTGAAGTCGTTCTTAGAATTCTTTTTTTTCTTTCCCAAGGAAGAAAAAGTCAGAAAAATTACTCAAGACGCTAAGGTCGGTAAGTAAAATCGATTTCTGCTGTACATCAAACAGTAAGTATATACATACACTTACGTTTATTATTTTCGCGCAGAAATCGGCTTCTATTTCTATTAATTTCATTCATATCGACGTGTCAATTAAGAATTGACCTATGTTAGTTTAACGATATTTTACGACAATCTATCTTCCTCATTTTGCCCTCTTCTCATCGTTACTCGTTTTTCATTCTGGAGAACTGAACGACGCAAAGGCCATGGTAGCGGCTCTCGAATTAATTTTCACATCGTCCGCACGATATGGCGTTTCGGCTGCTGATTTAAGCAGCGAACTGCAACAGCTCGGGCTGCCGCGCGAGCATAGTGCGGCAATTGCCAGATTGCACACGGATCATTGCCCTCAAATTACGGCTACGCTTTCCTCTCAGTCCTTGAGAGGTAATTAAACATTATCTTTTTCATTTCGTCGCTGTTTAATTGACAAGGTTTTTCTTTTTTTTTTTTTTTTTTTTTTTATTGTAAAA